GGGAGTAACTCACCCTGCGAATTCAACTGTAAGGCTCCCCCCCTGCCGGCACCTTTTTCTTCTCCAGTTGTAAAAACCCAACGACCTGGTTTCTTTTGAAAAAAATTAGGCCATCTTCTGATGGCACTGGGAAAAAAATGGGGTGGTGGGTTACACTGAAGCTTTCTTCTTCTCTCCTCCTCTGCTGAAATGTTCTTGGATATCAAAGTTTCAGGGGCTTAACATTTACCCACCTTGAAGAAGTACGTGCCCTACTTTTTTCTGTTGTGCTTCTCTCTCCAGAGGGACCGAAGACAGGATTAGTTTCAAATACATTTAAAAGCTTCTTTTACTCCTTGATTGAGACATCTGCTAGCTTGACAATGTAGCTTTGTGGCTGCAGGGTAAACCACCCCAGGGTTATGGAGCATTGTGTGCAGCAAGGTGGGCAAAGAGGAAGAACTAAGTCCATGCCAATTCACCTGAGAGGTCAACATCAGCTATGTAAAGGCTTTCCTGGGTTATAGCTAACTTGTTCAATTGTGGGAATTCTTGTGTTTAAAAGGTAGTTTTCCAGTGAGTACTGGGTGATGGACGGACAGAGATCTGTGTTACATTGCTGGCATGGCTGCAGACGTCTTCCTCACATCCACATTTAGATGGCTTTTTTAGTTTAAAATAGCTTCTTATTGCTTTGCTCCCATTCAAAACTACTGCTCTTTTCTCTCACAGATTTGTATTTTGCAGTCCTAGAAGTTCTAGAGCCAACTGTGGCAAAGCCACTCTCAAGTTTTCAGTGAGAAGCTGAAAGACCCCATGGTAGAGAAGATGGCAAATGCTTCTGGGGCTCAGCAGCCACCCTTCAATAACCCCAAGTTTGTCACAAAAGGTGTTGAGGAAAGGTTTTGCATTTAATTGAAGATCTTGATTTATAGCTTCCTGAAGAAAAAAAAAAGTGTTAAGCAGAGCAATGGCCAAAGATACCTTGTTCAAGTTGCAAGTTATGCATAGACTTAGTGGAGATTAGGGGAGTTAGATGTGTAAAACTGTGGACTAGTTGAGCAGGTCAGAGGGGTAGTTTATTTGGTTTATGTTATAAAATATCTCCTATAACTAGAAGTTCTGATACAGATGCTATTTTTCACGTCTGACATACCACAGTGTTTGCCTCTGGGAATATAGAGCTCATGGTTTGTTAGGTGGTTTTATTAAGTATTTGGGGGCTTTTTTGCTATGTGACAGAACCTTCCCTCTGGAGATGAAGCCAAGGAGATTGATGGAGTGTGGGCTTTACTTACAAAGCTCGAGTGACCCCGTAAAAGCTGTGCAAGCAAAAGATTAGCTAGTGCCTAAATGAAGCACTTGGGGGCTTGTAATGTAGAGAGGAAAAAAAATGCATGACACACATGTAAAATCAGATCAAACACACAATTCCCTTGCATTCTGCATGTGACAGATACAGGGCCACCCTACTGGCTTCTCTAAAGCCAGTGTGTCACCAAAGTGTCACCATGAATGTATCTGATCTAAATCTGCCCTGACACTGGGAAGGGCTGTTGCACCTTTCCCCACCCTGCTGACACCTGCACCGGGGGACTAGGTCAGGGAAAGCATCTTCCCGGGGGCTCAACAAAAGGAGGAGAGTGCAGCAGTTGCCACATCTCTGTAAAGCAATGATAAAACTGCAGTCTCGGGTGTCCAGCTGCTTTGTGCTGTCAAATCAGGGCCCGCATTTGATCCATTGTTTTTGATATATATATATTTTTTTTAAATCTAGCTCATAATATGCAAGAACTTAATCACCCAAGGGGCTAGGGAGTGAGGACAATAATTTCTTATCTGAAAAGAAAATACATAACTTTTCAAACATGGCGTGTCTTACAATTGCACAGTTACAATTCAATAAAAAAGAACATTAAACTGACCAAATGTCAGAAAGCCAGTTTATCCACTGTGACTTGGCAGCTAGTAATCATGCTCAGTGGGCTCAGGGAAATTGCATTGTCTTTAATTTTATGATTTCTGAAGCAGTGGTAAATAGCTTTTGTACAACAATAGGGAGCTCTCCCCATGATAACTTAGTCTGTGTATTAGTTGAGGTCAGTAACAGCTGAGGATGGATCTGATTCAGCTTTCTAGAACTGATCAAAGTTAGAGGCCGATACAAAAAAATGACATTTTTTTTTCTCTGTGTCTGTTTCTTCAGCTGTCAAAGCAGATGCTGAGGTATGGTGAGAAACATGGCAAACCAGGAGGTGAAGTGCTTACTGCACGGGCAGGGCCAGCAGGTCCAGCCTGCTGTTCCTGAGTTTCTCTTCCCTGCTAGACCTCGGTGCCCTGTGACAGAGCAGATCCTTGAGCCCAGTATACACATTTGTGCATGAAATGGGTGCTAATTCCTGTCCTCGTTGCAGAGTTGTTGGTGAGTTTTTCCAGAGCCCCTCACTGATGGGCTGCTTTGCTGTGTTGTCAGGTTGTGGAGGAGAACTCTCTGGCCCTTCTGGTTCATTTCACAGCCCTGGCTACCCCAACAGATACCCAAGCAATAGGGAATGCATCTGGTACATTCACACAGCACCTGGTAGCAGCATTCAACTCACCATTCAGGAATTCGACATTGAATATCACCCAAACTGCAACTACGATGTTTTGGAGGTAAGAGCATTAGATTTACTCCTCAAAATACACAAGTTACATGCTCTTCTGTCTGGAGCAGATAATCTCAAGATCTGCAGGAGCAGAACAAACAATTCTACAGCAATTTCCCATTTCTGGTGTGGGTACTGTTACGTTCCACAGATGTTGTCACAGAAGCCACGATGCTCTTAGTATTTTTTGCTTTTATGCCTTTGGTGTCTGTATACCTTAATCAGTAATGATGCTAGGCGCTGTGCACTTCCTAACGAGACAAAACTGCTTTGAAAAACTCAGTCTTAAAAAGTCCACCTTTTACAAAGAACTAAGTGTAGGGTGCTGTACCATGGAGATAAAATTTCCTGATGTAACGGAAGATAACGGATCACTGGGGGGATAGCTAAGGTGAGACCTTGTGTAGGACCTTCCAAGGTAGTGGGGAGGTTTATAACCCTGAGCGCTGAAAAGTTTGAAGAATCCTTGTACTCAGAAAAAAGAATAAAAGAAGAGGCAGTATCCTAGTCAACTTAGGGTGGTGGAACAAGGAGAAAAGGGACCTCTCTAAGGGTTTACTGACCTTTAAGAGACTCATAAGACTGGATGGTCCTGTTATATAGGACATCTTTGTGCTCATGTTGGGAAGCAGCCAGGTGACCAATCCCAGCTAACAGATTTGAATAGACTTCCAGTGCAGGAAGAAGGGATAGGAAATAATTTCAGGAATAAATTCTTTAGAAGTATAGACTTTCTAGATCGCTCTCACTGAAGACATTTGATATCACTAGTGGAGGTACAGTTGTTGGGTCTTTCAATGTTAATACATGGGTGACATTTGAAAGTTTTCGTAATGAACCCAAACGATTGATTAAGAGATCTTGTACCACTCCGCTGGGGCCTTTCTTCTCCTCTTCTCCTGAGTAATGTGATGCATGACCAGTGTACAGCTAGACAGCTTTCTGTCCAGCACCTACACATACTTACTGCTGCTTATTGTCGCCTTTGTATCTTTGATTTCTTCAGCCTCTGATCCTTAGTACACACTTATCAGCAAAATTCTGGAAGACTTAACCCACATCCCAAAGCAGGTCCTAAATATACAGTTGCCAGATAGATGATTGCTAAGCATTTGTATGAGTAGAAGAGATGTATAACTTAATTCCAGCTTTCTGGCTCTGAAACAGGCTTCCCTAGCTTAGCAATGAAGTGGAAGTCTTATCATAGAATCATAGAATCATACAGTCCTTTGGGTTGGAAGGGACCTTTAGAGATCATCTAGCCCAACCCCCCTGCAGTGAGCAGGGACAGCTTTAACCAGATCAGGTTGCTCAGAGCCCCGTCCAACCTGACCTTGAATGTTGCCAGGGATGGGGCCTCCACTACTTCTCTGGGCAACCTGTTCCAGCACTTGACCACCCTCATTGTAAAAAACTTCTTTCTAATGTCTATTCTAAATCTATTCTTCTTTAGTTTAAATCCATTATTCCTTGTCCTGTCACAACAGGCCTTGTTAAAAAGTTTCTCCCCATCTTTCCTGTAGGCCCCCTTTAAGTATTGGAAGGTCGCAATAAGGTCTCCTCGCAGCCTTCTCTTCTCTAGGCTGAACAACCCCAACTCTTTCAGCCTGGCCTCATAGGAGAGGTGTTCCAGCCCTCAGATCATTTTGGTGGCCCTCTTCTGGACCCGCTCCAGCAGGTCCATGTCCTTCTTGTGCTGAGGGCCCCAGAGCTGGACACGGGACTCCAGATGAGGTCTTACCAGAGCAGAGTAGAGGGGCAGA